CCACTATCTTTGATTTCCCTCCACGAAGATCAAGAAGGACATCAGTTTGACTTCGCTTCACTGAAAATTATCGACCAAGCCCGGTCAAAACACGCCAGAGAATTTATCGAAGCTTGGCACTCCTCAATCAACAGGCACATTGAACTGGGTCACGTGTACACGCCAATGCAACCCAAGGATCAAATGATGCAACAAAAAAGGTTACGGCGCGACCCGAGAACGGACCGAAACCGCAATCAGGACGGATGAACAACCGACTCTCCTACCAACCTCGCCCCCACGCACCAGTTTAACGGCGAACCCAGTGGAACAAGGGACAACAATGGTTGGTGGAGAAGAACACATAAAAGAACGGAGACAAACAGAAGACTGCCACTTCACAAGCACTGATGATGTCACCTCGGCTGGTGATGAAACGTTTGCAAACAAATTGTCAAGCTCGACGGGCAGGCGAAATAGAATTCAGTTCATCCGAGCTACGAGAACCGATTTTCAATACTTTGTCAACTACTGTAAGAATGTTTTAAAATGTTCTTCATTTGTAAGGATAAAAATATCGTCCACATAACGTTTTTACAGGATGAACTTGGAGATATTACCACCTAGTTATCAAGACACTAAAGGAAGAAGAGGATTTTCTGAGAACACTGCAAATGTTTAGTGATCTTTGGATGCCTGTACACGTTCATTCACCATAATTGAACAACCCCGTGTGCTATGCATGTTTGTTTGTTTCAAGTGATTGAGAATATAAAACGAAACGACAACATCTCACGATATTTGTTTTTTCTCGACTGTGACGTTGGCCAGTTCAAGCGTATTTCACAGAGATCAGTACTGCAATATTCCCGGTCTGCTCACTCTCGAAGAATACGGTCGCAAATGATATCGAGGAAAGAAAACATTCAACTTTAGCGTAACTTTCAAATAACCGTTTCAATGAGGAATAAACCTACGGTAAACATGAAAATATTATTTAAAATCAAGAATCAACTCCGAATAGTTTATTTTTCCGGTTAGAACCACAGTGATTTTATCTAACTTTTTTGACACAGATGTGATTGCGAAAAAAATGTTCTTTCCTCTTCATTCCCAGCCATTCGAATTTTTAGAATTCCAAGAATCTGAATCGAGTCATGAAATGCTGATTTGTGCGCAATTGCCCGAGTCGTATTTATTCAATCGAGGCTTCGAACAATGAACACAAAGCGCACAAACAACATTCCCCACCCGCGGTATATTTTCAGGGTCTGTGCAAAAACGGAACCGCGGGCCGAATGAACTTGAAGTGGTGAGATGAGATATTCCAACTGGACGTTTGGTAGCGGCATTAGGTGAAGAATACTACACCGGAACGACAGCCAATTCCCAACAAACCGAAGACAGTATTTTAAGACAAAGTTTGCAATCAATGCGCGAGCTGTGTGGCGCACTGTATTCAATCGTTCCACCAACCCACCCACTCCTTACCATGCCTGTGCCCATCAAAACCTATTTCCCGGACTTGTTTCGACTCATGTCACATCTTATGTCTTTTCATCCGCTTTTCAACGAACTTGGAACTGACCATAAAGAAGAATTGTATCTCATGGCAAGTTTGAAATATTTAGAAAACTTTCGATCAGACTCGATATGCTAGTCAAAAAGAAAGATTAAGGTAGAATTGAAACGAGCGAATAACGCGAGGTTGATAGACAAAGAACTAATCTCGTAATAACTTCCTTCCACAAGGAAGGCAGATTAGGATAGTAATTTGAATACCACTTTCGAAAGCGTTAGCTCGAAATTTTCCTGGTTGGTCGAAATAGCTGTTACCATACAATTTGCATTGCCTCGCTATCTTAAACATTACTTCCAATATAAGGTTATTTACTAAATTTGAATTCTATGCTTTTCAGATTCCGTTCTACGACTGTAACTATCACCCAACACGACTTATTCATGTAATCCAACCATAAGATCATTAACCTCGATGGGAATCGAACCGACGCGTGGATGCTATCTAGGTTTCATGGAGCCCTGCCGACAGCAGTTATTTTTCGCACACATCTACCATCTACAGGGTCAAATGGATACAATTAACGTGAAAGATGACTGTCTTCGCTGATTGCACAGCTTAGAATGATAACCAAAGGTGGAGTCAACGAACTCATAATCAAGAAGACTTACTGTCCAGTTTTAACAGCTTTGAAACTGAAGTGGCGAGCCTTAAAAGGCTCGAATAGGGCAAACACTGCACAGGGTTGAGTGAGGACCAAGTATTTGGCACCCTCTTTCCCCAAAATGACCCATTTATGAGAAGAAAATTCTTGTTTTTTGGCAGATAGGCAGGACTAATTGAGACTGAAGTTCCAGAGGGGGACTAGTAGTGAGAACGCGACAAACAGTGAGTGACATTGTACACTATTCGGAGGCATTTTAATGAACAGAGCATGATTTCGTTTGTTTGTTCGTTTCGAAGGGCACAAAAAAGAGGGACGGAGAGAAAAGAATTAAGAGAAAACAAACGAACGGGCGGATGAGGAACGGGGGTCGGGATGGGAAGTAAACATATGTGGATGATGAAGGGAAACAAGAAATAATAGCGGCAAAGAGCATGAAAAGATGGACCGATTGCCTAAAAAGAATAACTGAGAACGCATAGATCCAAAACGAAAAACAGGATTCCGATGATGAAAGGACGCATTTAGTGAATCTGAAAAGACGAATAGGAAGAGATAAAAATGACGCAACAACTGGATCACTGGGGCCCCAACGGGTCAGGGAGGGAGTAAGAAAGGAATAGAGAAAATGAGCAGAGATAGAAAACAATAAGTGAAATTGATTTCACACAGGTACTACAAGCCACCGGATTCAGAAACAAGAGTTACAGAGATGGCTTGATTGACCTGTTTGTGTGAGTGAAATCAAAGACGAGCCCCAGCAGAAGGCGAAACAAAATGATCATCCCAAGCGTATCTTGCGCAATTAGACAATACACCTGTTTGGAAAGTCACCTAGATGAAACCTACAACAGAACTGAAACAACAAAGAGCCAGATTCAGAAGAACAGACCAGCGTGACTGGGAGTCGGGTTTTGGCATGGTGAGTGGTGAGCCGACAGAAGATCAGATTGAGGGCAAAAACAACCAAGCCTATAGGTGAGCAGAGAGTTTGGGTAGAAGAAAAGAACTGATAATAAACGGAGAGTGACGGGGATGGGGTCATGGGCCCATAGCGAAAGATGTGGAGGAGCACAGGGTGATCTTCGAAAGTGCATGAAGGAACCAGACTGAATGTGTTTGAATTCGCAAACCTTCAGCGCTGATTCGAAGGTTCGGGCAAGCATAAGTCGGTTAATTCGAACGACAAGACCGAACGCTTGTCAACACGCTGTGCATAAGGACATGAGGTCAGAAAGAGAGATGTAAAGGACGAGGAAGGGGGACATAGTGTTGATGATGATGAAGAAGGAACAGAACGAGAGAGAGGGGGATGGAGACAGGGACATTACAATGACGAGTTTGGGTATGCGGTACAAACAACACGAGGAATGACATGCTTTCGGTGTGGTTATGCCTGTCCGTTTGTGAGATTAGGTGGGTATGTGCATGTATCGCGTATCCGATGAGCAGGCAAAAATGAAATAGGAACTGGTAGCAATTGGATCCATACTGAGTAGCGGCGATGTGTATTGTCGGTGAGTTTTTAGTGTGGCCAGGGGTGGGCAACCTCAGCAAAAATCAGAATCTGTTTTTTATGTGTGTGTCAGGGAACGAGGTCAAAAAGAACAGAAGGAACTCCAACAACAACAAAAAACACGGGTATATACAGGTATACACGTCTGAACAGGCAATGAACCAAGTGGTCAGCTGAACACCTGAAAACTAACGAGTGGTTGTGGTCGTCGAGATGATATTGGTTCGCAGTGTACCGTCTGCTGAACCGGTGGAGGATGCTGACGAGGAGCCATCCGTCCGGTCACCCCGCCGACCACTGGTTCGTCGGTCAGTGGCTCCATTCGGACCACCACGAGTGGTACCGGGCAGTTCGAGCATGTTCGACGGTTTATAGGTGAGGCGCTGATGGGATGGCAGATGCAGGAAGAACGGGTGGGTGAGTGCGGCAGACAATGGAATCCGATCAGTCGGATCGTATTCGAGCATTTTGGCCATGAGATCGAAAAGATCCAGTGTGTCTTGACTCTCGTCTTTGCAGTAACGCTATCATGCAGGGGGGAGAACAAATAGAAAAATGGTTTAAATGGCTCGTAGAGTGGACAAGAGGTTGCACAAAAACCCATGTACATTCTATCATTCGTAAAACTGACAAAAAGCGTACGGCGAACTCGAGTGCAACATAAAGCCAACATATTTTTGAGCAGCTGGTGTAAACCGTGGTGCTACAAAATCGTTCAGTTCGAGGGGATCATACGACCCGAATCCACTTCATGAGTGTGGAGGCCAAATTCAGAAGTGAGGACCGTTTCAGCTACCAGTTACAGAGCATAACAATGCTGTACAAGGTTTCTTCGGATACATGTGTGAAGCTGAAGTCCTACACGCGAGGTACTCGCACAGGAGATAGGTGTTTAACTCCAGTGCTGGTAGTCAGATTACATCATCATAGTAGCGCAATCATACGCAAAATATTCAAACTTGCCATTATTTGTATGAAAGGGCTTCAAAAAAAACAAGCGTTCTATCATAAAATGGCTTCCTCAACACTGGTCGATTCGCCATCCGATGCATGCCGTGTTTTATAATTGTCACTAGCTTGAGATCACTCATGTACAATTGCCTACTGACAATTCTTACAGTAGTAGGAACCGAGTTGGCGAATTGGTGAAAGTGGTAAAGAACATTTTACAAAAATGGTACTTCTTTCGGAGCGCACAGTATGATGTATTGAAGGTTTCCAACTTGTGAAAAGGTACATGCTACACTACCGAAACTGATAATGAACGGATCACAGTGAACCCGTAGACCGCAATTATCGGATCGTAAGAACGAGCAGCATGCAGTGGGGTGATGGATGGAAATGCACGATTATCGGAGATTATAAAAAGCTATCCATGTGGTTCATCATAAAGTTGGAAGATTAGGCACAGAAAAACAAAACTGACTAATCTGTGATCAAAACAGCAGTTTGGAAATTACCCGAAGCGGTCGACAATGTGTGATGACGTATGGATCTTCACGTATCTGACTGTCCCAGATCAAACGACCGGAGCCATCGAAATACTTGGTACGTCTATCACAAGCACACACCGATCCATGAGATAGTCACAGATGTAAATCAAGCCCATTGAAAGAGACATGCGCACAAGTGGCGGGATGAGTGGAGGAGTGAGAAAAAAGAACGTGTCATGCAAAGAGGCAGAGGGGGTTGGGGAGGGAGAAGAATGATGTGACATGAGATTAGGCATGCAAGCAAGAGAACACATGCGAGAGAACCGGCGACAACCGGTTGATTAGAGTGATACAACTTACAAGCAATGGTCGACAATTTTCTCGCACATAACGGCCCTCTTGGTTATAGAAATCCCAATCAAGACGTCCATGATAGAAGAACCCCGTGCTGGATGAAAAGCGCGAGAGAAGGAAGTTTGCATGAGCCGTCTCGAAATAGCATTGGCGTATCCGAGGCTGAAGCAGTAGTTTGGTTGTTCCATTTGCCACAGAACCCCCAAACAATACACTGCTGAGGAACGGGGTATTTCATTTCTCCTTCATATCCATCGTTCTAATACTTCCGAGAAAATTTCTGCATAAGCAGCGATTTACCCCCCTATCATCCTAAAGTCACGGCTTTGAACCCACCGACGGTAAAAACTGTTCGTAAAACGTTTTTCTGATAGCACACCAAAACAGTGGACGAATCCAGGGAATGAAGTAATTGCCGGGATTGCAACGCAAGCCATGTTGACCCGTCAAAACTTATCGAGAAGGATCAACTGTTGGTCTGATGAGAGCGATCGATGAACAAGGCACGATTAAAACCGACCACTCAAGAGATTGTCCGATGTCGAACCTGCACTGCAGTTCAGCACAAACCCTTACTCAGTCCAATTATTGTATAGAACACAACGATGCAGACATTTATCGCACATGTCGTAATCACAGCCCGTTGTGATAGCTGTGGCTTTTTCCACGGAAACTGTTGAAGACTTCTGATAAGAAGTGGGAGAATGATCCGGGATCTAGACGAAATCCTTCAGATAAAATGAGAAGCTCAATGAAAAACATTGGCGTCTCGATCAAATTTCATGCCGCCTCAGGTAGAACCATGGTTTAGAGTACCATGAGAATAGATGGTACTGAAATTTACCGTCCAATTTTAGAGACATGAATGGATCCTCTCGATGAACTAGGCTATCATACCTTGTTGTTCGAAGCATCATCGAAATACAAAAACAATCTGTCATTGTTATTTTGCGTTGTTGTAAACATGTGAGCAATGAAGAATAACCCACGTGTATAATCCAATATATAAGTTACGTAAATCATCTGTGTATTTGATATAATTCAAAAGGATGGAGCGTTTCGAAGTGGATGAAGATATTTTGATACACTCTCGAAAACTTCCACATTTATTATTACACTACTCATAAGTAGCACATGTTTGGCACAGTTGTATGAATCACCAACGTGGTGTCCTCGCACACAGTTGGCTCCAAAACCAGATCAACAGTAAAAGACGAACGATAGACTTACATTGTCCGCCTGAAAGCACGCCACTCTAAATAGACTGTTCCTAGGACCCGCAGAGTTTTCTCCGAAAAAAATCTAGCCTAACCCAATTGTACTTTCACATGACGAAATCTACCGTTGCAGCATCGGAAATCATGGGCCCAAGGTCAGACATACTTTGATAGCGAGCATGTTTATCTGTTCTCTTCAGTTCACGTGCAGCTCGCATTAGACATGGTTAGTTAGTGTATAACTGAATATGGGAAACAGAGAATTTACACCGCAAGATTGCAGTGTCTCGGTCTCTCAAGACGGACGGTGATCAAATGGACTAATCGGTTCAAACATGGAGGTGATAATCAACGATGACCAGGAAACGGGAAAACAAGTGAACACTAGGATTCTGAAATGTCTGTTTAGCGCCATCGAGTTCTGGTTTTTCATGGAAGGACAATGAAACCAAGAGACAATATCGGTGAAAAGTCAGAAATCACGAGTACCATATGCGCGCGGCGAGAAAGTTGCGGCAATCACTGCCAGAAAGACATTCCAAACTGTTCGCGGTCACATTAGGTTCAATAGCCTGTAATACTATGGAATTGCTGTGAATAAGACTGACTCTTTATTCCGTGCATAGAGAAAATAAGTCCCAGTGATTGTGAAAATAGACTAGCATCAAACTTAATCAGCAAATAGCTCGTATTCATGTCTCGGTTCCATCAACAGTGCTGTGCACGAATGGTATCCCGCTACATGTCGAGGACATCTGACGGTCGCAACAAAAAGAAACAATGGAGACGGTTCATAAAACGAGAAAGAATGATGCTGGCGTGGACATTGGTTAGTTGTAAGGATTTTAGGACGCCATATTATGGGTTCCTAGTTGTTGAACGATGGGCAGTCTGGGAGCAAACATCGCTAGAGAACCAATTTCCTCAGTACCGATATTGATCACTCTAAAAGAAGTACTTAGATGATCGGCAATATTTGTGAAGCTCATTTGCGACTGGTTATTCAATAGTTTATTGTGTTCCTAGGGTGATAAAAACACGTTTATGCTGATACGATCTTTGTGTGCAAGAAGACGGGTTTTTTCCTCATGTGAAACCAAACACCAATGATCAAAACTAGGCAGTTTGTGTCCAATATCGCAGGTCCCTACGTGAGATCTATGGACAGAATTTCTATATGTGAATCTCCTAAAGGAAAAGAATATACACATGAAGTGATGATTACAACGTGAAGTTTCAAGTTTTTTAACTGCATGGAATGCCCGTTGGGATGGCGGAGGGCAGTCGCTAAACTATGTGCGTGAAAGCACATCCGGGGCTGGCCGTAACCAATCAACCGGTATCGATCAAACTGGACGAGGGTGGCGTAAATAGTAAAACGTGTCCGACATTTCAGTCCACTTACCGGGATTTTCGAGTCATTCGATAGGGAATATGACCGAGTGTTCGCTCCATCATAGCCAGATGTTCACGATTATCGTGCGTCTGGAACAGAGAATGGCACAGATGAGAAAAATGTCATTGTGTGCGATCGACCGCTATTACTAGTCTTCTTCTTCCACTACTACTATTACTTTCACATTCAAATCTCCTATTCGTTCTGAAAACAGCCTCCACCTGTCTCCTCTTAATGCTTTGCTGTTTCGTTCCTATCAGTGTTATGCTGAAGTCGCAAACCCAGTAGGGAGAAACTCTGAAATCACCTAAAAAACAAACCCTCCTAGTGCTCCTTAGTGATTTTTTCCGGTCTGTTGAAAAAAGAATTTAACTGACAAGATCCCTCTCAATACGATGACTCGCTATGGGACACTTACGGTGTCTATCATGGACAGACATCTTCAAACTTGTGCCGGTTTTATTTTTATAATACTATCTAACAGTCGTCATCCACAAGCTCAAGGTTAGAATATGTATTTATATGTACCTCTTCCTATCGTGATTCTGTTTCACCATACGGTTATATGATGCTAAATTGGCAGGACGTGCCATTTTCAAACGTGCGACTGTTTCTTTCAATTCCCCGAAGACACTATACAGTTTACATACAAAATAACAGATTCCTAGACGCACCTTCCAGGTCTGTAACATGTTTTCTCAGATTTTTCATTCTCCTTGGATTGTGCTCCACGTAAAGTGAAACAACTTGGCAGTGCAAAACACCTATTGTAGTTGATAGTTGATCATTTAACAAGCATTACTCAACAAACTCGACAGAATACAAACCCATCCAAACCATCGTGTGGCTCCAAAAGTCTCAGTATGGTCGGAGGTGGGTGTATAGGGTTACGGCTGCTCAGCCTTCGCTTGCATCTCGCGAAATACTCCCATACGACCAAGCGTCTCAAATAGCTTATGCTGAGGAAGCCCTACTCACTGCCTTCTCGTGGCGGAGGTGTTTTCTCACCAAAATGAGAGGACGAAAAGCTGATATCCGGGGCTATAACCGAATTGGTGAATCACTGGCAATTCACCTAGGGGAGTTGGCCAAAACCCTGATTCCAAACCAACCAAGAGGAAGCGTACTAACCATACCCACACCTTTCCGGTTATGGCAATGGTCATCGGCTGGATATGGGCACCAAGATGTGTTGGGCACCTTGGACTTTTGACCCCGTTCAAAGGGCGAATGATCCCATGAACTGCGGTTTTCACACACCGCCCACTGCCTTGCGGGTCAGGCTTTGGCTAACCGAAGGCTCTGGTTGTGGATTCCTCAAGAAAATTCACCTGCCTTGGCCAGGGCAACCTGGCAGTATTCAGCCCACAAGCCAATCATGGGAAAATTTTTTTCTTTTTTAGAAAG